TCTAAACAGAGGGGCACCTTTGTGGGGTGGGGGGGGGCGGGATGGCCAAGTCTGTGGCTTCCAGCCTTGTCTCCTTTGGGACGCTTGGCATCAGAACCAACACACACCCCTGGCGGACCCTACCAACTCATAACTGTCCTTGGAGCCATGGTCACCACCTTCCAGGGGATGAGGAAAGCCCGAGTCTCAGGGGCACACTGGGGGTGCTGTGCCCTCATGGGAGTGCCTGGGTTCTGTTCACTGTTTCTCGTGCCTGGTGGGTTGTGAGGTTCGGCTGGCTCTGTGAGTCAATAGCCTTTCCCACCACTCACCACTCACCACCCACGACCCACGCAAGGGCCTCTCTGTTTCCGTCATGAAGAGCAGATGATCAGAGCACAGGAATTTAGGAAACCAGGGCAAAACTGAACCAAAAACACCCCCAGCACCTTCCTCCCAGCCTGTTTGGGGACAAGATTTCTTCAGGGAGCCCTGCCCCAGGCCCAGCCCAAGCCAGGCCAGTCTGGTGGCCTGCTATCAAGGAAAGAGAATTTTGATGACTAAACATCAGAAAAAGAAGTGGCCACTGCCTCTGGTTCTCTCTTCCAGGGAGACCTATGCCCTCCGCCGGGCACCCAGTGGCTCCCCGGTGCCTGGGTCTTGCCCGGGCTGAGCCCTGACTCCCTGAAGGACCACCGAATCCCCTTTCCCCTCTGCCCCCTCCTCACAGGCTCCGGCAGGGCCCCCACAGCCAGGCCCTGTCCCAGGAGCCAGGAGAGAAAGGAGAGAGGAATCTATTCTGTTGTTGCCTCACTAGACCCGCCCAGCCACTTCCTCCTGCTCTCAGGGGGGTGGGCTGAGCAGAGGACGGGAAAAGCCTGGAGCCCCCAAAGCTCCTGCCTTCCTTCTCCGGTCGAGGAAGGCCAGACTCCAGGGGCTGAGGTTGACCCCAGCTGTGGGTGGTGCCCAGGGAGTCAGGCCCACAGAGCCAGGTTCACATCTGTTAAGCTGGGCACACACTTCAGACTGCCATTCTAGAAGGTTCATTGAGGCCACACTGCGTGCCAGGCCCTTGCAAAGGCCACAGATGAGAAGGCGAATGAGCAGTGCCTGGTCCTGCGCGCAGGAGAGACACGGAGGCGAGGGCCCCATCTTTACCCGCTGGGTCACTCTGAGGAGGGGCAGCTGGCTGCGGGGTGGCCCTGGGCAGGAACTCTGAGCAGGCTGACCAGCCACTCCGCCATTCTGCTGTGCACACTGCAGGCCTTACTGCACTGGGCCCTCCGCGGAAAGGGGCCCATTAATGCCCCTTCTGTCCAGGTTCTGTGGCCTCCAGACGCCGGGCACTCCACTTGCCTGCAGAGCTCCACAGCCTGTCTCGTTCCCTCCCCTCCTCTCTCCCTTCCTCCCCTCTGCCCTCCAACCCCAGCCTCACAGTGTGACCTTGGGCCAGCTACCAGGCAGGATTGATGACATCCGGGACCCAGCCAGTGTCCACAGGAGACTCCTTTCCACTTGGCTCACTTCCTCCTTCTCTCCCTTCTTCCTCCCTGACCCCTGAAACCCCACAGCAGGTGCCCTGGGTCCCCACTTCCTCCAGGCATTGGCTGTATCAAAGCTCCCCTGAGGGGCCCCGGACCCTCTCTAGCACAGGCAGGCTTCATAACAGGAGGAAATCTCCTCATTGACCACTGGCTCTGCCCTCTGGGGCCCAGACAAGCAGAGAAAAGAAAAGAGCGAGGCCGGGAGAGGGGACGGGGGAGGTGCTTCCACCTGCAGGAGGGCTGGGCAGGAGGGCTGGGCAGGAGGACTGGGCAGGAGGGCTGCGCAGGCAGCTTTACAGGTCAAGCCAGAACACCTCCCCCAAGGGTCTGCCCTCCACACTAACACCGCCCTGGCCACATCCTGTCTGTCTTACTTCCCTGGGCGCCATCATCCCTGCCCAAGACCACCGCCCACATGCACACAAACGCAGCTCCCCAGACCCTCTCTGCTCCCATTCCGCCCAGCTATCCTCGCCAAGGCTGGCTCTGGACCTCTGGCTCTAGTGCAGTGGGGAAGCCCCAGCCAGATGGTCAGATGGCCGTGGAGATACCCACAGCCCCATTCCTGGAGCCCTTGTCCCTCCCTGCTCACCTCTGGGGTCCATGGCTCCTCCGAGGACCCACAGGACAGGTGCCTGGAGGCAGAGGCCAGGGGTAGAGGTGGAGGTCAGCTTGGCAGAAGCTAAGCACAGCTCAGACCTCAGGATCAGAGCCAGGTAAATGCCCAGCCCCTGCCTAAGCCCCACCCCACCTTTCCCTTCTGGGTGGGAGGAGTCTCAGCAGGCTTCTGATTTGCCCACATCTGGCAGGGCAGCCAGCCAGCTCAGTTCGATGAGAGAAACCAGCCTTTTCAGCTCAGTGCCCGAGGCCAGCCGTCCCAGCCAGCGCGGGGGCAGTGTTTTACCCACATGTCAGATCATGGAGGGGCCAGTTGGTGGCTTCTCCGTGCTCTCAGGACAAGCCCTGCCCTGGTTACGGCCCCCAGGCCCTGGGGGGTTTGCCCCCTGCTCATGTCTCCAGGTTAGGCTGGTCCCTGCTCCCCACCTCTCCTCACTTGTCTCTCCAACATGGGGAGCTGCTGTTCTCACGACAGCTGGCACATCACCTACCCAACCACCAAAGAGCCCAGAAGTCATCGACACATTCCACGTCTTATCTTTTCTCTAGAGGAAAGTTCCTGGTTCCAGAGATTTCTGCCACGCTGGGATAAAGAGCTTAAATGAGGGCCTCAGTAGAGGCTGCTTCTGAGTGGCTGTCACCTGTGTCTTCAGGGGAGACCTATCTGGGGTACAGGCACATCCAAGAATCACACACAGCACACCCCAGAGGGAGAAAGAGGCAGAGGATGGCGACCTCTCTGCCCCTCTCTTCCAGCTCATGCTTCCTGTGCGGGCTCCCACCTGGCCGAGGGAGAGGGATGAGGGAACCAGGCGAAGCAGGGAGGAGCCTGAGGCCCTGATCAATGGCTCAGGGCCATCCCGCAATCTGGAGACTTTCTTCTCCCCTCCAGTCTCTGCTCTCTGCTCCCAACCTGCCTGGCTCCACCACTCGGTGCCAGCCACAGGGTTGGGAGAGAGGGCCCTTCCATGCAGCATCCCAGGGGCATGCCCTACCTGTGTCAGGGCAGGGGGAATGAGGGGAGGGGTCAGCGCCACGTCCACGGAGGCCCCTTGTCAGTGTCATATGGCAAGAGAAGCTGAGAAATCAGCTGTCACCCCTACCTCACACCATATACAAAACTTAACTCAAAATGGATCAGTGAGCTAAATATAAGAGCTTAAACTATAAAACTCTTAGAGGAAAACATAAGGGTTTCTTGACCTTAAACTTAGTGATGGCATCTTAGATATGACCCCCAAAGTACAAGCAACCAAAGAAAAAAAGATAAATGGGTCTTCATCTAAATTTTAAACTTTTATGCATCAAAGGACACTGTCAAGAGAGTGAAAAGACAACCTATAGAAGGGGAGAAGATATTCGCAAATCATAGATCTGATTAGGGTCTAGTATCCCGAAGATAAAAAGACCCCTACAACTCAACCAAAGACACCCAATTTAAAAATAGACAAAGGACTTGAATAGACGTGTCTCCAAAAAAGAGATACAAATAGCCAATAAGCACATGAAAAGATGCCCGACACCATTAGTCATCAAGGAGAAACAAATCAAAGTCACAATGAGATACCACTTCACACTCACTAGAATGGCTGTAATCCAAAAAATGGAAAATAAGTGCTGGTGAGGATATGGAGAAATCAGAACCCTCCTAACTTGCTGGTGGGAATGTAAAAGGGTGCAGCTGCTGTGGAAAACAGTCTGGCAGTTCCTCAAAAACATAAACACAGAATTACCATGTGACCCAGCAGTTCCACCTCTAGGTCTGTGCCCAAAGGAGTGAAAACAGGGGCCCAGACAAATACCTGTACCCGCACATTCATAGCAGCACTGTTCACAACAGCCAGAAGGTGGAAAGAGCCCAAATGCCCATCAATGCACGAATGGATAAACAAGGGTGGACCATCCATACAGTGGAATGTCCTTTAGCCAGAGAAAAGAGTGAAGGTCTGACACACGCTACAACACGGATGAACCTCAAAAACATCATGCTCAGTGAAAGAAATCAGGCACAGAGGCTAATATCATATAATTCTACTTATATGAAATATCCAGAATACGTAAATCCGTAGAGATGAGTAGATTGGTGGTTGCTGGGGGCCGAGGAGGAGGGAATGGGGCATGACTGTTTAATCCGTACTGGATCTTTTTGGGGGTGATGAAAATGTTCCAGAGCAAGATCAAAGTGAAGGCTGCACAACACTGTGAATGTACCAGAAGCTACTGAACTGTACACTTTAAAAGTATTAGTTTTATGTTATGTGAATTTTGTCTTAATAAATTAAAAAGAATCAGCTGTGTTGTATTTCTACCGCTGGCTCAGGATGAATGATAAAAGATATTTTCTTTTCCCCATCACCCCAGCAACCAGGTCTCCCAGTTCCTGAGGTCGGGTTCTCCTTGCCCAAGGGAACCGGGGGCTCTGATGGGCCTGGGCGTGAGGCAGAGGGCAGGTCCCCACTTGCAGGCCAAGCCTGAGACAGCTGGACGCCTGATGCGGATGCCTGCATGAGTACCTGTGGGGGCTGGACACTGAGACTGAGGAGCCCCCGGAGCCCCAGCCTGAGGTCAGGGCCAGGGACCACCATGTGGCACCATGTGGCTGAGAGAACAGTGGCGATGATGTGGCCAGGAAGGGAAGGAACGGAGCCCACTAACAGTAACACCTTAAAGTGGACCACGGTATCCAATGCCAGACACACAGGTGGGGCAGAGCCAGATCCAAGGGGAACCGAGGAAAATAGGGGTGACATTGCCCACGCCCAGCTGGCAAGGAGCCCATCCCACATCCAGAGTGGTTACAGCCGCGGTTCCGCTCTGGTTCTTTCCTCAAAACCGTCTTCCCCTCTGCTTTGTTGAGAGCCGTCCCCCCTCGCCCGCCTCCTCCACCCCTGACCCCCTGCCTCCCCTGCCCCCCATCATCTTCTCACTGCCTCTGCCCCAGGCCTGCAGGGCCCCTTTCCCAGGTCACTGTGGAGCTGTCCTCCCCACGTCCAGACATTTGTCAGCTTGACTGAGGACTTTGGCCCCTGCCTCCAGCTCGATTCTCGTCACCCAAGACCATTTCCGACTCAGTCAAGTAAAACAGGACTCGCTCCTTCCTCCCGGAACCTCTCAGGCCACCCGGGGCCCTGCTGCCAGATCACCTCGATGTGAAATCCCTTTGACCAGGCATAGCCCTCAGAGTCCAAACTCCTCGTGCCTCCTCCCTGCACGAGGCCCTCCCGGCTCCCGCCCACCTTCTCTGCCCTGCTGCTGTGGGTCCCCCCAGAGCAAAGTCCATGAGACCCCCAGGAAGCATTTGTCTCTCTCCTTCCCCCACACCTGCCTCGATACCCCTCACCCGCCACGACGCACCTCCAACTTGTTTCTCAGGCCTCTCCCTCGTGCGCTGCTCCCCTGGGCTCTGCCCCGACACCCCACACCCGTGTGGGGAGCCGTTCCTCAGTGCCCCCGTAGCACACTGGGCGCTGCCCCACAGAGGCCCTGACCACACCACTGAATGGAGCTTCGTGTCCCCTCTAGAATACAAGGACAGGGATGAGACATTTTGGCATGTGTCCCCACAGCTGGTACAGGACCTGGTGCACAAACATTCATTCACTCCACCACCATTTGTCGGTGGCGTGCTACGTGGCGGGCTCTGCTCTAGGCCCTGGGGAGACACGATGACAAAGGTAGACAGGGGCCCCCCTCACAGCAGTACCTCCCCAGACCCGCCCTGCCGGCCCAGACCAGGGCCACCTCACCTCCCACCCCGCATCTTGTCCTCTCCTGCCCTCTTGCTCCAGCACAGTCGCCTCAATTCACTCACCCACCAGAACCGTTAGTTTGATGCCCCACCCCAGCTGTCCAAATTCTCTGTCCTCCGTGAGGAGCACTGCTGGGGAGAATCAGCCAACTGGGTCACTTGGCTCTAGCATCAGCACAGGCGTCCACCCTCAACGGAGCCTCGCGGCGTGGTCACAGCCCCTCCCTTGTCCCTGCTCACTCTCCCTTAGTTCCCTTCATCTTTGCCCCTCACTTAGGCCCCAACTCTTTGTGCCCAAAGGATGACCTCCCCTTCTTGTGCTCAAGGGGCACCCTGGGGACTCCCCTCAACTTTCCGCCATGTCACCTCCACAAGCGCCCCAACCATCTGCAGCTCCAGCCATGGGACTAGATGCTCCCCATACCCGGCTCTAAGGGATTCCTCTCTCTGTGCTCCTACTGCCCCCTACTCCCAAATTTGCTCCCTCTCCTCGCCCGGGTTGGCATGGCCAAAGCCAGTACGTCTGCAATACCTCACTGCACCCATTTATTTGTTCGATTTTTTTTTCTTTTTTGCAGGGGAAGATTTGCCCTAAGCTAACATTTGTCGCCGATCTTCCTCCTTTTTTTTCTCCCCCACCCTCAAAGTCCCAGCACATAGTTGTGTATGGTTGTAAGTTCTTCTGGTTCTTCTACGCGAGCTGCTGCCGCAGAATAGCTACTGACACAAGTCATGTGGTTTCGCACCCAGGAACTGAACCCGGCCACTGAAGCTGAGTGCACCAAACTTTACTCGCTAGGCCATGAGGGCTGGCTCTTGTTTGATTTTTTTTTGTGAGGAAGATCAGCCCTGAGCTAACATCCATGCCGCTCGTTCTCTTTTTTTGCTGAGGAAGACTGGCCCTGGGCTAAGATCCGTGCCCATCTTCCTCCACTTTATATGGGACGCCGCCACAGCATGGCCTGACGAGTGGTGCATCAGTGTGCGCCCGGGATCCGAACCCGGGCCGCCAGCAGCAGAGCACATGCACTTAACCGCTACGCCACAGGGCCGGCCCCTGATTTTTCAATAAAGGAAATACTTGGACACAGCTTAAAAAGTCAACAAGGCCAATAACAATGAATAGTCAGCTCCTGACCCAAACCTTGATCCCTAAGTCCCACTCCCTGGAAACCACTTTCAACTTTGCTCCTGATTATTCTAGAATTTGCATCCATATTTTAATAACTTGCATCTATATCTTCCTTTTTCTTTATTTAGTATTTTTGAATAAGTAATTATTGTATGGTTCAAAATTCCAAAGGTGTACAGGGGAATATGCTGGTGTTCTTTGAGCTTTTCATGTTAGTCATGGTCCCCTGCCTTCCCCTGTTAAAGTTAGGGGTCATCTCTCTTCTACCCTCTCCATGTCTTTGGTCAGTATTTTCATTATTATGACAATGTAAATATTTTTTGCAGCTGAGACACACAAAGTACATTTCTTCCTAATACAACTATAGATTTCTTTTCATGGGTTAATAATTAATTTTTTCATATGTTTTGTTTTCTGTGCATTTATCACTAATTCATCCTAAACCTCATGGCCGAAAGTTTAAATTTCCTCTCAATCATCAAACCCACCAGGTAAACCAATCAGTAACACTTTGTTTTCTTGGAGGCATCCTTCTGGAAGCTTCTGTCCTCCTGCTCCAATCTGGGACTCTTGCCTCACCACCATCCCTGGAACCCTTGCTGCCCCTCTCCCGTGCTGGATCTGATTTCCTGGATCCCAGATAGAGTGGACCTTTGTCGTTACTTTTGGCGCCCCACATCTAACCCCCCTTCCTATGTTTAGAGAATTCCTCACGTAATATGCCAAACTCTGCCTTCAACTATAAAAGCTACAGACGTCAAAGACTCGCTCCCCCAAAGCCCCTGACAGATAGGCTATGGCCCCCTGCCTCAGGGTCTCCCAACCAGACCACCTGTCCCAGGTTTTGCACCAGCTGGTACCTACAGAACAAAGGTAATCATCTTTGCTTCTGGTTTCAACGGGAATACTTCTAGTGTTTCCCCATTAAACATGATGCTTCTTTGAAATTGAAATGGATAGGTTTTCTTTATAGTAGCTAAAACAAGACAAAAGTTCATTTCTTCCTCCTTAAAACAAGTTGAGGGGTAGGCAGTCTAGACTGGAACAGCATTCCAGGTATCTGAGTCCCGGGCTCCTCCGTCCCTGCATATGGCTTCCTTCTCAAAGGCAATAATGGCTGCTTGAGCTCCAGTTGTCACAACCACATTCCAGCTAGGAAGAAGAGCCAAAGAAGGGTGGGCCTCCCTCAATTTAAGAAAAATTCCCAGAAGTAACATTTCTGCTTATATCCCATTCACCAAAACCTGGTCATGTGATCAAATCTGACTGCAAGGGAGGCTAAGAAATGTAGTATATATCTAGGGTGACCACACACCCGGCTAAAAATTGGGGGTTTATTACCAAGGAAGAAGGGAAGAACGAATATTGAGAGTTAACTAGTAGTCTCTGCCACCCCATCTATTCCTATTTTCTGTTATAATTCCTATTATCATTTTTTTTCAAAAACCAAGAATGGAAATTAAAATTAATCCAAAGTCTTTTCAGCGTCTAGAGGCTGACATATTTTTTTGGCCTTAGCTCTATTAATATAATGAATTATATTGTACATTTCCTAATATCAAACCATCCTTGCCTTCCTGCAATAAATCCCAGTTGGTCATTTTATATTCTTCTTTTAATGGACTGCTGGATTTTGTTTGCTAATATTTTATTCTAAACTTTTGCATCGATATCCTTAAGTGCTATTTGTAGTTTTCTTTTTTATGTTATCTTTGTTGGGTGTTATTATCAATGTTATGATCAATTAATAAAAATAATTTAGAAGAAATACTTCTTTTTCTATTTTCTGAACAGTTTACATATCTTAAAACTCTCAGTTTTTTAAACTTTGGGTAGAATTCTGTGAAAAATCTGTACCTGGTAATTTTTTTTTCTTGATGTAGGGATAAATCTGAAATTTTTCTTTTATGAAAATCAGTGTGTTTTAAGCTTCTATCTCTTCTAGAAGCAGCTTTGCTGAGTCATATTTTCTAGGAAATTATCTATTTCATTCAGATTATCAAATCTTTTTGCCTAGAATTGAGCAAAGTAATTGCTTATGGTTTTCAAAATCTCGTTTGTATATCCTCGGTTGTTCCCCCATTATCATTTCTTATTTTGTATTTTTTTCTTTTTCTTGTTCTTTCTTTCCTTCTTCCTTTGCTAATAGTTTATAGTTTTAATTATTTCTAATTCATATCTCCTTTTATCTTTATGAAGTTCTTTTTTACTGCCTTCCTTTAGTTTATTTTGTTGTTATTTTACTTACATCTTGAATCAGATGTTTAATTTACTTATTTTTATTTCTTCATACAAATAATTAATCAATTAGCTTTTCTCCAAGTTCTGCCTTAGCTGCATCCCATTGACTCTGATATCACAATCATTTTGCTTTCCTCTAACTCAAAAGTTATTAAGAGAGAAATTTTTTAAATTCTTAGAGGGCAGCAGTTTTTCATTATTTTACTATTATTATTATTATTATTGTTATTATATACTGTAATTGGAGAATGTTGGAATGTTACCTGTAGTGTTTTTATATTGTTTAACTTATTAAGATGTATTTTATAGTGTAATAATGTTCACGGGCATTTCTGATTGTGAATGTCCCATGAGTGTTTGAAAGTTGTATTTCCTATTTTAAGTATATGTATCAGACCTAAAATAACTATTATGTTACTTTAGCTTTCTATATTATTTTGTGTCTCATTGATCTGACACGAGTAGATATAAGCAACTTGAAGCCTGTTCTATCAATTTCTCCTTGCACTTTACATGCTGATGCTATATTGTTTGGTGGATATATAATCACATCTACCATATCTCCACTGAGAATTTCACTTGTTGTTGTCATAAGATGCCCTTCTTTTTCTCAATTAAGGCTTTTCCCCCTGAAATCAGTGGTGACAGATATTAAGATCACATCCTTGGTGTTCTTGTTTGCACTCATTCAGTTTCTTTGTGAACCTTTTGATTGTGAGCCCATCTCCATCACATCTTTTTAAAGTGTGTTTTTATATATAGTACTAGTTCGGTGTTGCTTTGTGATCCAATTGGAAACTTTTTCTTTAATAAGGAAACTGAACAAATTTTTCAGTTATGGCTATGATGATACATTTGCTCTCAGTTCAATGAAGTTATTTGTATTTATTTTGCTTTTATAGCTTTGAAAGACCTTTCACCGTGTGGTTTGTATGTAAGTGTTTTTTTGATAATTTGGAAGATCTGGATTTTAATCCAGTGGAAAATTTTACAATGAAAATTTCATGTAATACCTTTTATTCTCTATTTACTTAAACAATTTATATTCACTCCCTGTGATGAATAATTACAAAATTAATTAATTTTCTCTTCTGTACTTCCCCCTGCCTTTCCCTCCTCACCTAACACATGTTGATTTTGTTATGCTTCTAAATATCTACATTGGTACTGTGAATGTATGCCTCCATTACATGAATTTTCAGCTTTATATGATATCACTTATTCATATCTATAAAGATGAAGAAATCCACTTACTTTAAGATCTCTCATTTTCTCTCCCCTTTCTTTTCTTGATTTTTTGTGAGAATTAAATAATTTCTATTTACGTTCTGGAACTATGGTCTTCACTCTTGTTTCTGACTTGATTTTAGACTTAAATATGGTCTTGTTACCACTGATCTTTTTGTCATCCTTTATCCACTTAAAGTATGGCTGCTGAGGTTTGTTCTCTAGCAGCTTCTTCGAGAAGAGTTAATGGGAACAAAATTCCTGAGTTTTTCTATATTCAAAACTGTCTGTTGTCTTAATACTTGAATGAGACTTTGGCTCAGTGTAAAATTCTTGGGTCACTCTTTCTTTCCTTGGAGACTTGGTGGATACATTGCCCAATAGCTTCTAAGGTTGAACACGACTGTGAAAAAATATGATGCCAGTCTGATTTTTTCCCCTATACATAATTTGAAATTTCCGCATGGCTGCCTGAGGACTGTTTTCCTTATCTTGAAGCCCAGTAGACCTTACTAGGGTAGATGTCAGTGTGGAACATTCCGGATGAATGTTTCCTTGGAACTGTGTGGATGTTCAATCTGGAGTAAATTCTATTTTTAAATATCTTTTCTAGTCCTATATTTCAGTTTTCTTCTTTGAAGATCTCTATTTTGTATAGGTTATATCTTTTTTGTCTTTCTCTCATAGCTGTCATTTTCTCTTTAAACTTTCTCAATGTCTTATTCCATCTCATTTTCTTATGTTATCACGTGTTTTTAAGAGTGTTTATTCTTTCATATGCTGCTTCTCATTTTATTTAAATTTTGTGATGATTTATTTTTCTCCTACTCTTTCTCTGAGCTTGTCTAACATATTTTTCAGTCCTTCTGTAGATTTACTATCTCCTCCATAAGCTCATGTTTTTCTGCTTTGGATTTTGTTTTACAGAGGTGATTGCTTCATTTTTTTTTTTAATTAATGGAGAAATACTTGAAAAAATTCCCTCTGTTCCATGGCAAAAGTTCTTGGTATGGGTTCTTCATTCGCCATGTGTTTCCCCTGTTCTTTTCTTCTTTTTATTTTATAATAGCATTACATATGCTAATTCCCATTGTGAAACTCATTTATGAATAAGATACTTCCTGGCATGGATATTTGCACAAGTGTCACTGCGGGAAGGAACAAGATCATATTTCAGGGTAACAAGGATTTTTTTTATGACCCAGGGTTGTGAGTTAAGTTCCTTTAGCATTTACATCCTTGAGTCAGAGAGAGAAGGAAGCTGTAGGAACGTTCCCAAGGAGTTGCTCTTGTCGCAGCCCCCAACACAATCAGACGAAGTCCTGCAAATACAGCTCATCTGTGTGACTCTTCATCCAGCACCACGCCCTCTGCTTCTCAGAACCAAACTGCCATGCAGGCTCCGGTTGCCAGATCGCTCATCACATTCTCACACTAGCTGTGAGAATGTTTTTATGTTCCTGTTTTTTATGTTCCTGGCTGGTTTTTGGTGCTTTCTGAAAGGATAAGAGAGGAAATGCCGGCTTTACGCTGTTATCTTCAATTTAGATGTGCCCTGATATCTTTTAATAAATCCCCTTTCTGCTTAAATCAACAGAATTGTCATCTGTAGCTTGCAACTAAGAGCCCTGATGGATATAGAAATTTGCACCAAGCGTGGTTGCAGGCAACATGGATTCAGGAGGTGTTAGGGGTCTTCAAATCGTCCTGGCTCCTCTCTCCTTCCAAGCACTGGGTAGAACTGCATTTCTGTGCCCACTGGAAGTCAGGTGCAGCTATGTGACTTGTTCTGGCCAGTGAAATGTGAGCAGAAGTAACATGTGGCACTTCCAGACAAAAGCTTTCAGATCCAGTGACAGGTCTGTTTGTTTTTTTAATTAATACACTTTATTGTTCAGAGCAGTTTTAGGTTCACAGCAAAATAGAGTGGAAAGTACAAAGTTTCCACAAAATTCCTTGCCCCTATACACTCACAACCTCCCCCACTATCGACATCCCACACCACAGGGTACATTTGTGACAATCAGTGTACCTACATTGACACGCCATTATCACCCAAAGTGCACAGTTTACAACACTCTCAGTGTTGTACATTCTATGGATTTTGACAAATGTATAATGACATGTCTCCACCAATATAGTATCATACAGAATTGTTTTATCGCTCTAAAAGTCCTTTGTGCTCTGCCTATTCATCCCTCCCTCCCCTCCAACCCCTGGAAACCACTAATCTTTTTACTGTCTCCATAGTTTTGTCCTTTCCAGAATGTCATATATAGTTAGAATCATAAAGTCAGTGGCCTTTTCAGATTGGCTTTTTTCACTTAGTATTAGGTACTTATGGTTCCTCTATGTCTTTTCATAACTTGATAGCTCATTTCTTTTTATTTATTGGATATACCACCATTTACTTACCCATTCACTTACTGAAGGACATTTCAGTTGCTTCTAAGTTTTGGCACTATAAACAAAGTTGTTATAAATATCCACCTGCAGGTTTTTGTGTGGACATAAGTTTCATTTTACTTGGGTAAATACCAAGGAGCACAATTACTGGATCATATGGTAAGAGCATGTTTACTTTTGTAGGAAACTGCAAAACTGTCTTCTAAAGTGGCTGCATCATTTTGCATTCACCAGCAATGCATGAGACTTCCTTCTGCTTCACATTCTCAACAGTATTTGGTGTTGTCAGTGTTCTGGATTTTGACCACTCTAATAGGTGTGTAGTGATATCTCATTGTTTTAATTTGCAATTCCCTAATGACTTATGATGTTGAGCATCTTTTCATATGCTTATTTGGCATCTGTGTATCTTTTTTGGTGAGCTGTCTGTTCTTATCTTTTGCTCATTGTTAGTCATGTTGTTCATTTTCTGATTGTTGAGTTTTAAGAGTTCATTGTATACCTTGGATCTGTCTTTATCAAATGTGTCTTGTGCAAATATCTTCTCCAAGTCTGTGGTTTGTCTTCTCATTCTTTTAGCATTGTCTTTCACAGGGCAGAAGTGCTTAATTTTAATGAAGTCCAGCTTATCAATTATTTCTTTCATGGATTGTGCCTTTGGTGTTGTGTCTAAAAAGTCATCCCCATTCCCGAGGTCATTTAGGTTTTATACTATGTTATTTTCTAGGAGTTTTATAGTTTTGCATTTTACATTTGTCTTTGATCCATTTTGAGTTATTTTTTGTGAAGAGTGTAAGGTCTGTGTCTAGGTTCATTTTTTGGTAGGTGGATATCCAGTTGTTCTAGCACCATTTGTTGAAAAGACTAACTTTCCTCCATTGTATTTCCTTGGCTCCATTGTCAAAATCAGTTGACTATATTTATGAGAGTCTATTTGTGGGCTCTTTATTCTGTTCTATTGATCTATTTGTCTATTCTTTCACCAGTACCACACCGTCTAGATTTCTGTAGCTTTATCAAAAGTCTTGAAGTTGTGTAGTGTAACTCCTCCAACTTTGTTCTTCTCCTTCAATACTGAGTTAGCTATTTGGGTCTTTTGCCTCTCCATATAAACTTTAGAATCAATTTGTCAATACCCAAAATATAACTTGCTGGGATTGCCCTGAATCTGTAGATCCAGTTGGGAAGAAATGACATCTTGACAATATTGAGTCTTCCTATCCATGAACATGGAATATCTCTCCATTTATTTAGTTCTTCTTTGGTAGCCTTCATCAGAATTTTGGGGTTTTCCTCATATCATTTCTGGTTAGATTTTGTTTTGTTAGATTTATACTTAAGTATTTCATTTTTGGGGGTGCTATTGTAAGTGATAATATTTTTAATTTCAAATTTCACTTGTTCATTGCTGGTGTATAGGAAAGTGAATGACTTTTGCACATTAACCTTGCATCCTGCAACATTGTTATAATCACTTATTAATTCCAGGAGCTTCTGTCAATTCTTTCAGATGTTCTACAGAGATAATCATGTCATCTGCAAACGAAGAGTTTTATTTCTTCCTTTCCCTTCTGTATACCTTTTATTTCTTTTTCTTGTCTTATTGCATGTGCTAGGACTTCTAGTATGATTTTGAAAAGCAGTGATGAGAAGAGACATTCTTGCCTTGTTCCTACTTGTAGCAAGAAAACTTTGAGTTTCTCACCATTAAGTATGATGTTACCTGTAGGCTTTTGGTAAATGTTCTTTATGCACTTGAGGAAGTTCTCCTCTATTCCTAGTTGTGGAGACATACCCAGTGATCAGTTTGGTTTTCAACTACTGGTTTTATTTATCAAAAAGTACTATTGTTAACACAACATAACGTGACCTGTCATGCCTGATATACAAGAAAATCTGGGATTTGTTATCTGGCTAGATTTTAGCTGAGGGTAGTAGAAATCTAGTTAGCATTAAGGGATGGGACCCTGGACATACTGGCACACAGCTACAAAACAACGTATCTGGAGATGTGGTCACCTGAGACACATGCCTTTTGAAAGTAAGACTTTGAAAGCCTAGTGGAACACCACCATAAAACAACAGGAAAGGTTTAAGAAACTCAAGGACTACAGGGTGGGTGGCTCCTTTAACACTGCTGGGTAGTTGACAGAAGAAAAGTGATAGGCTCCAAGTCCTACATTTTTAGCTCAAGACCTGGACTGAGAATCAGGGACTCTCTACAACTCTGTAGAAACATCTCTCATTTCACTTGCAGCTGTGAGATCGATATAACTGAAAACCAGACAAAGTTGTAGCCAGCCCCTCAACAGTCATATCAACAGGTGAATTCCTAACCGGACCAGAGCTCCCATGGGAAAGCTGAAGCACTGGCCAGCTGGAGTGGGGCCCTCAGAATTGAAATGGGGACATTCAGGTGACCTCGGCAGATGCAGCTACCCTGAACACCCAACCTCTCTGAGCTTCACTTTGAGAAATAAGCCCCTCCTCCCCAATCAACAAGGCTATCTGTGCCTTGCTTGAAGACTCTTATCTTCGGGGAGTTACTTCCAAGGAGAAGCCAGTTTCCTCATCCCCACTGCCATCTCTCCTTGTTTCTAGACCTATAAGTAGAGTTAGAGCCTAGCAGGTCCTAAGCGGCCAATTACCAAGTTAAAGTCAAGAAGGTTTAACTCAGTAAATGGACAGAAATATTTGCTGTTTTATATTGAAAGAAAAAAAAATCAGGGAAATACATGGGAGTTGATTCTGGAAGTGCTTGGCCAAAAATGAGGGACATAATTTCAGGTGAGGTTCCATCTAGAATCAAGATTCAGTGGGCGAGCTAGGGAACTGGGAAGGATTCAGTTATTTCCTTTGTTGCTCAACTAAAACCTGGACTCCACAGTGGCCCACACGGAGGTCAGTGAATCTTCCAGAAAGCCCTTGCAATAATGTAGAGGTAAGAAATCTCAGTAGAGAGGTAGGCTGGTTGGAAGGGCCTTACCATGTTACCTGCTCAGCCAGCCAACAGGTTGTCTGGGGAGGGTCCAGAAGACTCATCCTTTGCCGAGGCACTGAGGAAAGCACTGACAGCAGAGCATAGACATCTTGGAATAGCATCACAGTGGCTCTACTCTGAAGGCTGGAATGCCGGTGGGAGATGCAGCAGAACTGAGCTCCCAGGGCCGAGGCAGATGCCAGAACCCCAGGGCAGCAGAGAACACAGCATTTCCACCAGCCACATATGCAAGGTTCCCGGGATGGCCAGCAAGGCTAGCGCAGTGAACCGATGAGCTGACCCAGAGATCTGGAGACAGCTACTCTCTCTCTCTGCCCCTCTGCCCCCACCCCCTCTCCCCAGGTCTGATGAAGAGGCTTCACTTGAGCTACCTGACTGGCGACAGCCCCCCACTGCATTTCTAGACGTGCCTCAGTTCGAGTCCTGGAGCCCCTAAACAGAAGGAAAGGCTGGCTGTGAGCCTTCCTCCCAGCTTCACCCAAAGGGGCCAGTGGCCAAAGGACACTACCCTGGCCTTTCAGGACTGTTGGAACCCAGTTCTTGGTGGACCACAGTTCCTAGAGCATGGGTTATGGGTGGGGCTATTGTCATCCAATTAGCTGGACACCAAGAGGGGGACCTTCCGACTTGGACTCTTGCCATTTGGGTCTGCAAACGTTTCTGACATTAGGCCCTTGGAAGTCTCTCCCACAACCCTGCATTCTTATTTTCTGCACCTGAGGCACACCACACCCAACAGGTGTAGATGGGGCCTCCCAGACTCATTCTGTAACATTCTCTCTTCTTCCTTCTTGTCCATATTCTACGGCCCACTGTTGCCTCTGGACATGAGATGCTTCTGTTGCCACCTGCCACCAAACCACATTATGTCCTTGCTTCCCTGCACCATCAGCTCCCAGCCCTAGGCCAGGGCGGGGTGTGACCAGCCAAGCCTAAGGAGGCTGGGGAGGTGAAGCTGGAGCATTTCCAGTGTTTAAACTTGGAGCCAGGCTGTCTCCCACCACACGGCACCAGGTGAAGAATTCTCCACCTTCCCTCACCTTTTCTTCCCTATGGCGTATCTCCTATTGTCCAATGCTGCTTCTAGAAACGGAGTGTTTCTGATGCCACCTGCCACCAAAATGCATCATCTGCTCTCCCTGCACATCGGCCGCATAAAGCTGGGGACACAGAAGCACTCTTAGCTGGAGGGGCGAGCTCCCTGGCTGAGTCTTCAGGGGCGTGCCCAAAGATACATGGGATTAGTTGAACATCCACCAGGCCTTTTGAGATGCTCCTCTGCCATTTTCACATGGGGTTATACTCTCCCAACTCTCCTGACTGTAAGATGGAAAATGATTTGGGAGTAACTGCTGTGTGTGGAGGAGGTGGGACAACAGACTCTTAGAACAAGGTTGCAGGTCAACCAAGATGGCAGAAAATTGTGCTGCGTAATGCAATCCCCTCCTAAGATATATATCCAAGAACACACACACACACTTTTAAGACTATAAAATGCTTTTCGCACTGTTTTAGCTGCATCTCACGAATTTTAATGCACAGTATTTTCATTATCTTTCAGTCCTAAATATTCTCTAACATCCATTAGGATGTTGCAGGTAATTGAGAAGGTTTTTTAAACTTCCAAACATGAAATTTTGACAATTACCTCTTAAATTTAACTAAATTGTGCTGTGGCCAGATAATATACTTTGTATGACACGGATTCTTTGAAACTTAAGACTTGTTCTACAGACTAGTAGGTCAGTTTTCATCACTGTTCCGTATGTTGGAAGAGAGTATACACTCTTTTCAGATACACTGTTCTGTGTGCCTTAGATCAAGCTTGTGAACTCTACCACTGAAACCTTCCGTATCCATCTGATTTTTGTCTGCCTGGTGTATCAATTTCTAAGAGATGTTAAAAGAGATGTTAAAAGTAAAAAGTTCACTTCTGTTTGTGAACTGCTTTCTCCTTATAGTCGTGTCAGTTTTTGCTAAACCGATTTGAAGCTGCAATCCTGGTGCACCTGTCAGCACTGTTCTACCTTCCAGGAGAACTGAACCCCCTTCCAACAGGCGGTGATATTCTTTACCTTTAGCGATGCGTGTCGTCCCCAAGCCCCCTGTGTCTAATACAGCCACACCAGCTTCCTTTTGGCTACACTGCTTCTTAACCAGAGTTTGGTCAAAAGAATTTTCTCAATGGCTTTATTGAAATATAGTTCACATCCCATAAAACTCATCTGAGTTTCATCAATTTGGATTTAATCCTCCATCTTACTTTCTCTTCCACTCACCTGGCTGAGGTCTAGGTTTTGTTCTTTCTCTCCTGCTTTCTTCTACACTGGTGTCTTCCCACCCCATTCCATTTCTTCCTTCCTCCTAGTTTAGTTTACAGTTTCTGTCCAGTGGTGATCTTAGAATTTTTAATGTGCATGTTTAACTTGAATTCTAATTTTTACCCTTCTTACAAATAAACTTGGAATACTTCAATTCCAGTCACCCTGAGGTTGGCCCCACCTTCTCCCAGTTACCCGAGCCCGTCAATTCCACCTTTGGCCTGGGCTACAGGAGTTGGATCTTTATCCCTTCCAAGTGAGGTTTAGACTGACACGGGCAGTCACAAAGGCCGTTCCCTTCCAGCCCCTGTGAACTGGGAGGGGGCGGGCACGGGACCAGACACTGCCAAGAAAGGGCCGGTGAAGAGCTCCCAACCCCCACACCCTCCACACCGCTCCTTTGTCCCTCACCCTGCAAACTCTTGGACAGCTTTCTGGCTGCACAAGAAGAGGCTGGAGCCCAGATCTGGTTCGCCCCCTCCCCAGGTCTGAAGGATCTGGGCCCCTGACCTCAACAACACTCTCGTTCGCACAGGAGACACGGGCCCTCACAACAAGGCTGTGCGGTGAGTGTCCACTTTGCACGGAGCAGCTGAGTCTGCACAGACGGGGCCGCCCAGCATCACCCGACGTGGAAGTTCTCCTGGAGCCCGGATAGGCGCGGTCTGGGCCCCAGGCCGCAGGCCCTCACACCAGGCCGGCGCGCTCCAGGTCCTGGGGCAGGATGCGGCCCTTCCTGCGGGCCTTCTCCAGGCGCCGCTCGGCCCTGGCCACCTTCTTCTTGCGCAGGTTCTGCCGCCGCCGGTCCTGCCGCCGCCGCATCTTCTCCACCACGTGGGCCGTGCGCTTCTCCCACCTGCGCTGCCGCTGGGCGCGCCGCTTCTCCTTGCGCCTCAGGGCCTCCTGCAGCCGGTGCTCGTCGTCGCGGATCTTCACGCCCTCGGCCTTGTACAGCAGGTTGGTCCACCGCATCTTGGCCTCCAGCTCCCGGGCCTTGCCCTCGTCCTGGCCCCGCAGCTCCTCCAGCCGGTCCTGCCGCGCCCGCAGGCGCTCCAGCAGCTGCCGGTAGTTCTTGCCCGTCAGCGGCGTCAGGTTCCCCTTCAGCTCCTGCCTCTTCTCCTTCCTGCGCTGGGCCTTGCTGGCCGGCTCCTCCTCGCTCACCTCCACCTGGTGGGGGTGGGGGAGGAAGAGCCGCAGCACGTGACTACAGCTTCACCCACGCTGCCCAGGGTCCCCACCAGCCCCCCCGACGGCGCTACCACCCCCCACCCCACAGACGGGCGGCCGCGGTCCAGAGGCGGCACAGGCGGGGCGCTCAGCCAAGGCCACGGCCAGCACGGGGGAGCGCCGGGGTCCCGGGCTCGGAGCCCCAGCCTCCGCGCCTCCACGGCTGCACCCACCCCTCACCTTGTTGAAGAGCAGCCCGGGCTGCCCCTGCGCCTCCTCTCGGGGCGCCTCGGGGGGCGGGTCGGCAGCCCCCGCAGCCTCCTCGGCCTTCGCCGCCTTCTCCTGTGCCCTCAGCTCCTTTCGCTTCCTCTTCCTCCGGTCCCGCTCCTGCTTCCTCCGGCGTCTTCTCTCCAAAGTGGCGGGAGACAGCTCCTTGGTGCTGCCCTGGAGGAGAGAGTGGGTGTTCACTTCAAGGTTCTCCCAACTTCAGGGCTCCCAGTCTGGCACGTGGAATCGGCAGGAAGACACTTGAGGAAATCCTTGTGCAGGACAAGGGGCCCACTGAGTTCAGTGGTCCACTCCGAGATGACCTATCACCCAAAATGCAAGTGACCCCAAAAGGGACAAGGGGCCCCCGAGTAAGAACCACGACTTCCAGTTTCCAGGCACTGACCATGGGCTAGGGCACTTTACAGACACGAAATCTCCCAACAACCCAGTAAAGGAGATACTGTCCTCCATCCCTTATAGATGAGAAGGGCAGGCGGCTTGGCAAAGGCCGCGAACCAGACCTGGTGTCAGGTGAGAAGAACTCAGCAGCTGTGCGGACCACGGCACTATTCTGCTGGTGACATCCCCGAGCTCTGCTCTCACCAACAGCCTTTCCCATCCTGGGGCCAACAGGGGGCCTCCGGACCACTGACCCAGACCTGCACTGCAGGAAGGCCCGCCCAGAGCCTGGACCGCTCCCTGGGAACCAGCCCCTAGGCGGTGCTGAATGAAGCTGGGGGACTGTCCGCGCAACAGCAAGAAGCCTGGGGGAGGTCCCCAGGGAAAAAGCAGGTGGTGGCCGAGTCAGAGGGGGGACAACGCCATTCAGCAGAAGAGCTGAGGCTGGGTCAGGTCTCGGTGTTTACTGTGGCTGTCACCTCGGGCGGGTCACCTTATCTCAGGCCCTTGCCCACCTCACAAGGCTGCTGTGACATTCAGATGGATGGAAGTGCCGCCCGGTGTGGTGTTCAGCAAGGGCGGGATCCCGGGGGAAGCAGAAGAGAAGAGCCAGCAGCGCGCACGGCCTGCAGGGGGCGGGCGTCCCTGGGGACAGATGCCCCCCAGGACAACGAGAACTACACCTGATCTCTTGCAGAACAGAGCTGCCGAGTGAGGCCGTGCAGGACCCACGGCAGGCGCAGGACAGTGGCCGAGGCCCCTCCCGTCAGCCCCACAATGGCCGGCAGAGCTGGCAGCTGACCCCGCAGAGAGCACCGAGGCACCTTCTCCTCAGGCAGAGCAGGGAAACATGCCACTCCCGGCACCCCAGAGGTCTCCCCCACCCACCTGGCCCCGGGCCTCCCGGATCTTCTCGTGCAGCCGCTGCCGCAGAACGTCCAGGGCAAAGACGGAGTCAGGCTCTGTGGCCAAGCCATCTGCAAGGACGGAGACAGAGGAGTGAAAGGAGACGCTCTCCCTGGTCCCCTCCTCAGAACTGGCGTCAAACAAAGCCTGAGTCTCCATGCACTGCCCGCCCCCAGGTGGCCACGCGTGGATCTGCAGGGCAGGTCCAGTAAATCTCACTCCACGTCTTCAACCTGGACTGGCCCTGAGGACATGCTCCAGGTCAGGACATCCTTGCGCAGCATGATTAAAAAACACTTCCCGGGCCGGCCCGGTGGCGTAGTGGTTAAGTGTGCGAGCTCCGCTGCAGCGGCCCGGGGTTCGCAGGTTCGGATCCCGGGTGCGCACCGAAGCACCACTTGTCAAGCCATGCTGTGGCAGCGTCCCATGAAAAGTAGAGGAAGATGGGCATGGATGTTAACCCAGGGCGTCTTCCTCAGCAAAAAGAGGAAGATTGGCGACAGCTGTTAGCTCAGGGCTTATCTTCCTCACAAAAAAGACGAAAACAAAAACAAAAAACACTTCCTACAGTTCAAGTGAAAACCATCTCCCATTTCTTCCAACTTCCATAGCCTGGGGCCCCCCAAACAAGTCAGCTCTCACGACGCCGCTTCAGAGACTTGAGGGCAGTGAAGCTCTTCAAGGAAAGCCACCCTAGGTCCTCAGCTGGACATGGCCTTGCCCCTCGCCAACTGGGTCACCACCTGGCCTGAAACCACGGTGTACTTGCCCGGGTCCCACCCACCCACAGAGCCCCTGTGATCTGTCCTCTGAAAGCTCGCTCTTCAGGAAGTCTCAAGCTATCCAGTGCGCCTGACAGAATCTTTTCTGGTGACCAGAGAGGACGACGTTTGCATCCGACCCCAGCCAGCCCTGCCCCTCCTCCCCAGAGCCCCTCACCCGCAGGGGCCCCTGTGGAGCTGGAGGGTTCCTCCTCCTTGGCTGTCACTGGCATCCTGGCCCCGGAAGTGGCCGGAGACTTCTCCCCCAGGGCCTGGGTCTTAGGCTCCGCAGCCTTCTCCTCCCGCGCGCGGGGTTTCTTCTGCGCTTTCTTCCTCTTCTTTTTCGGGGGCCCAGCAGCTTCTGAGCCTCGAGTTCTGCCAGCTGAAATACAAAATGAGAAAGCGCTGCCGTCCCAATCTCTGTGACCCACTAAACAGGCAGGAAGGTCTTGCAAAGGCTTGGATCCCAGAAGGATGCCGTAAGTGAATCAGGATGGAGGATCCGGAGACCCTTATCCATAGAGCTCAGAACCACAAACTTCCTAGAAAGCAGACTGGCCGTGCACGTGAGGCCATCTTGTTATGCTAAATGGCCCCGGCCCCTCCTCCATGTGACTACTCGCTGCGCTGCGCGTACTCGAAAAGGTTCACATGCTCTTCTCATTTACGGCCTCCGCTTACGTACCTACTCCTCTACAGCTTGATGAATTAAAACTCTGTTCTATGCGTTTCTCTCCAGGAACAGGCTGACCACAGGCGGAAAATACACCTACAAGGTATCCACCACAGCTGACAGAAGAATGGAACAATGAGATGCCTGGAGCCCAACATCCCTGGACTCCCTCCTTACTGCCCATTTTCCCTATATAACTGCCTCAAGATTCTGTAATCCTTGAAGATGATTTTTTAAGATATTAGTCTGCCATCTTCCCAGTTATGCTGGCTAATCGAATTAAAACTTCCTTTGTCGATTCCTAATTTGTTGCGATTAATGGGCTCAGATCGCAGTGAGCAGAGTGAACCCGTTGCTGGGTATCAGCCACACATGTCAAAACCCTGAAAAACATCCACTTGACCCAGCAGTCTGCTTGTGAGAATTCATCCCAGGTACCCACAAAGATTTGGCCTCAAGGATGTTCATCACAACGTTGTTTGAGTTAAAAACCAGGAAAATAAATATCCGTTTACGGGAACAAATCACAGCACTGCCACGCAACAAACTACTATGTAGCCATCAAAAATAAGGAAACAGGGGCCAGCCTGGTGGCGCAAGCGGTTAAGTGCGTGCCTGCGCTCTGCTTCAGAGGCCCGGGATTCACAGGTTCGGATCCCAGGCCTGCACTGACGCACCACTTGGTAAGCCATGCTGGGGCAGCGTTCCATATCAAGTAGAGGAAGATAGGCACAAATATTAGCTCAGGGCCACTCTTCCTCAAAGAAAAAAGGGGAGGATTGGCACCTGATGTTAGCTCAGGGCTAGTCCTCCTCACAAAAAATAAATAACTAAATAACGAAAACAGGCTTTCATTTTAAGGGGTGGAAAAAATAAGTACATTGAGTGGGGATGGAATTGTTTTAATAAGAGAAATATACTTGTAAAAAAGACCAGAAAAACACAGACCTAAGTTACATCTGAGTGATGAAAAAACTCACTTTTCTAATTTTCTATAATGAATAAATTTTGCTTGTATAATACGAAAAACTCGTTTTTCCTCTAGTAATTCCACGCCAGAACCTGCTGCTCTCCCCTCCTCCGGGCCGGGCAGTACTTACAAGTCCCAGGTCCCTGCAGGCCAGTCTCTGTTTCACCTGATGGCGGCCTCGTCACCCCTGCCATGTAAACCGCCATTGGCAGGAGCCATCTTCTTCTTTCCTTCTCCCCACTTCCCCAGTCCACAGGGTCACCTCCTCCAAACCTTGGCCGAGCTTCCTGCCCGGTGGGCGGATGGAGCTAAATCCCTCGGACCCCAGGCTAATGCCTCCAACAAACAGGGGAGCAGCAGTAACGTTAAGCATCACTTACATTTCCTTCTAGTATTTTGCAGGCATGCTTCACGCATCTACGTGTCTAATCCCCCCGAAGGCTACTCGGGGTGCGGTGTGGGCTAGACAGCGACCTCCGCCGCGGCGGGGAGCGGGACGCCCCCTTCGGAAGCCCCCCAGTCCCGGGCCCGGGCTGCACCTCACCCGACTTGCGCTTCTGCGGCTCCGCGCTGGGCTGGGAGCAGATCTTCCTGGCCAGGCTCTGCAGGTAGGCGTCCTTGGCGAGCAGAGAAGCCATGGCTAGAGGCTCGGAGGTCGGGCGGGGCTCTCGGGACCCTGCTCGGGAGAGGAAGGCCGGGGCGCAGGGTCCCAGGCCCGCGGCCGCCCCCCGACACACACACCGCCCGCGCCGAGCTCGCCAGGAACCACGTGGGCCGCTTCAAGACGCCGCCGGCCGAGCGCCGAGCCGCCATCGCGCGGCGCTCGACTAGCCAGGCCTGGATCCACCGGAAGAGGAGCGCGGGGCGGGCGCAGAGCATTGTGGGCCGTGGGTGGCCTCCGGCTGGGGCGGAGCCCCTGGGCGCGGCTTCCAGGCCCCCGACGTCTACCGCGAGGCGCCCGCCGACTTCTGCCCCGAGGCGGGGGCGGAGCGGGTGACCCCGAGTCTCGGCCTCTGCGCCGGAGCCTGGCTTCGTGCCCGTATATAGTGGGCGCTCAGTAACTAGGAGCGATAGGGAGGGATGGGCAGTAATTGTGTACTCTGGGCGCTCAGACCCCGAGTGGAAGCCGGCGAGACCGCGTTAGTTCAGAAGGACCGGCGCCGGGCACGTTCCCGGCTCCGGAGACACGCGGTGAAGACGACACAACAGTGTCCGCGTCAGGTGGATGTTTCAACGCCGCCGGGTATTAACAAGATGAATATACGATGTGGCGGATAGCGGGGGCCTAAGGAGATAGGGACTGGAGGGACGAGCTGGGCGCCAGGGAGACCCAGGTGACTTGCCCTGGACAGTGGAATCCCAGACGAAGACGTAAAAGGAGGCTTGTCCGCTATGAAGACTCACGGCAGGGGGTGGAGGGGGGTGTTCACCGGCCTGAGGCGGGGCCATCACACCCCGAGCCTTAACCCACAGGGATTACAGGCTTTGACACAACCCTGAGCTCTTTGAGGGTTGCCTTGGGGTGAGGGCAGAAGAGAGACTTGTAATATTCATCAGGGGAGGGAGGGAGGGGCACTCGGAGTCCTAAATTACCACCTCAAAAGGCTATTTGGAAAGGCTGTAATAAGATACCTTGGAAACACTAAGAATTTCACTTTCTTCCCCTACCCTCTGTCATGGGCGATGGTTTACCGGGAGGATGGTTTCAGCGTCTTCTCCCACTGTGGGTTTACAGTCTGCACAGTCTCATCTCTATACAGCACTCAGGAAGCCATACCCGTCCTTCCTGGGACGGTCAGTTTTAACCCTCAAAGCGAGGGACACTGAAGGGACGGGATGTGGAAAGGGACAAGGATGATGGGTCCTCTTTCGGTGGGACTCCCAGTCAACACGCAAGTCTGGGGTTATCTGTCCTTCATCTGCATCTCCAGAGAGGTCTTTGAGGCTTGTTGAGGTCTTCACTGGGCTGGGGGGCGGGGGAGGGGGGTAGATGCCACCAGAGTTGCTACATGCCAGGGAGAGAAAAAAGTTGTTGCGTTAGGAGTGTAGCTCTTGATTATGGGCCTTCCTAATTTTAACAGTTACCGTTTCTGTGTGCCCAGTCTGGAGGGTTTGGCCAGCTGATCCTCCCTCCTCCCTGAAACCCTGTCTTCACATGGCTTCGGGGACCCCAGACAGCGGGCCTCCTTTCCGCCTGGCTCCTGCTCTCTGGGTGCCTGAACCACTTCCCTCTTCTGTCAGCTCTCCCCCCTCAGTGGTCCCTTTTGGGGGCTCCCGGCTTGACTGTGCTTATGACTCCCCTGAACTCCAGACCCACGTCTGGCCGTGTGACACACACATCCACCTCTGTGCCCACGATGGGGATACTGACTCCCTGCCGCCTGCCTTCCCCGTCTAAGTTAAGGCAGCTCCATGCTTCCCGGCACGTGGGCCAGACCTGGAAGCCGCCCTGACTCCTTACTCCCCACATCCAATCCCTGAGCAAATCCTCTTGGCTCTCGCTTCAGAGTATATCCGGAATTCCACTCGACCCACTCCAGCCACCCTGATCCTGTTCTAGATTTTAAAAGACCGTGAGAAATAATAACTAAATACAATGCAAAATAAAAGTAGGTATAAAAAGACATTTGGGGAACAACTGAGGAAGTTAGAATAGGTCACAGTCCTAGGTGATATCATGGAATAATCGTTCATCTTGGGCATGATGCTGGCATTGGGCCATGGAGACTAGAGGGACAAGCTGACCAGTACTTAGGGGTGAGGTGTCAGGAGGCGTGCCTGACGTTCAGATGATTTTAATATACGAGAAAGAGTGAGCAGAGGTTCAGAAGGTGACTCCAGGGGCCTGCCCCATGGCGTAGCGGTTAAGTGCGCGCGCTCCGCTGTTGGTGGCCCAGGTTCGGATCCCGGGCGCACACCGAGGCACCACTTGTCAGGCCATGCTGTGGCGGTGTCCCATATAAAGTGGAGGAAGATGGGCACAGATGTTAGCCCAGGGCCAGTCTTCCTCAGCAAAAAGAGGAGGATTGGCATGGATGTTAGCTCAGGGCTGATCTTCCTCACAAAAAAAAAAGGTGACTCCAGAAAAGGGTCTGTGTGGGTGTTCTTTATGCTGCCTTCTAACTTTTCCAAGGGTTTGAACATTCTCAGAATAACAAGCTTGGGATAAAAAGGTGATAAGGACTGAGGATTGACCAGGGTTTAGCAACATGGAGCCATTGGGGACCTTCATATGTGTAGCTTGGCCGGAGTCCTGGAGATAAAACCTGCCTGACATAGGCTGGAGAGAACTAGAAATAGCCCATTTCTCCACTGAGTTCTGCTGCCAGGGGTGCGGGCTGGAGAGGACAAGGAGGCACATGCTTTAAAAGGGGAGAAACAGTTGCACTTCCAATGGGAATGATGGCACTAGCCCAGGAGAGTAAAACTGATGATACAGGAGATTCTGTTACTCAGGTTTTTAGAAATTGAGAACAACTGACAGCCCACCACTGAGTTTGGCCCACCCTTCCAGCCTTTTCCCCACATGTGCTTTCATTTGGTTGTAATCTTTTCTTTCTTAGTGGTTAGGTACAAGTTATTTCTGCAGTAAAATACTGCAGGAAGAAATCACCACCCATCTCATCAGTGGGGAAACTCGCCCACAGGGGATGTGACTTCCCCAGGGCCCCTAGAAACTGGGGCCAGACCCCAGGCTCCCACCTGTCTGGTGCCTCTGCTTGGCCCATGGGGGTCTCTGGAACCCAAGATGGGTCAGCTCATGTCCCTTGCTGTCCCTGAGGCTGGCTCGTGGGCTTTCACCTCCTCCATACACTGGGACAATGGTCTCCCTCGCATAAAGGAGATAAAGCGTGCCAGTGACAGTCGGGGCACAGGGTTGAAGTCCCGGCTCTTCTGGGTTACCCTCCTCTCTCTCAGGTGAGCCTGGCACCAAGGCACTGGGCCTAGCGTTCCGTGGGGGTTGAGTCTTGATTTCTGCCACTTCCCTTCCCAGCTCTGAGACCGTGGGCACAACACCTCAACCTCTCCCGAGCCCGTGGCCACCCCTCTCTGAAACGCAGGTAACAGCAGCACCAACTCGGGTGCAGTGAGGACTAGATGGGACCAGAGGTGCAGGCGCCTGGGCCATGTAAGGTGCAATAGTGGCAGCAGTTTTTCTTTCATTCACCAAATATTAAGGACTTTCTAGGTCCCAGGCAGTTCTAGGCAATGGGAAGGCAGCCATGACCCCAAACTGACTGAGTCCCTGCTGGCCCAGAGCCCCCATGGGGAGAAGGTTGACCTGAAGCCCAAGGTTGTCCCAGCAGAGCCCAGGAGCTGTTCTTCCAACAGCCACTGGGAGACCAAGGGTGGTCCCAGACTGATCTGGACGACCAAGAAAGAGGAACCAACCAACGCCAATGGGTGGTACTGGTTTTATTCAACAGTCTCGTTACAAAAATAACCAGAATGTGTATGACAGCAGAATTAGGAAGGACCGCTGCCTGGCTTCTGCGTGAGCAGGCAGCCCCCCATCCCAGAACGGCCCTGCAGGAACAGTCAGCTGGTGCAGGGACCCCCAGGGCGAGGTAGTGGGCAGCTCTGCACAGGAGGCCTGGCCTGAAAGTGGGAGTCTGGCCTTGGCCAGTACTGTCCACTGAGCCCCCCTGCATTTTAAACCATGCTCAGGGCAGGTCTCCCGACACTGGGCATCCTCCCTGCCTGCCCTGCTGGTAGGTCCTCAACAGGACAAACTGTCCTGGAAACTTCCTTCCACCCAACCGGCCAGCAAGGCAGCAAATGGAGGTGACAATTCGAGGGTAGGGAGGGCCACCCCGCAATTGGTTGGGGGAACTATTTTTCCCCAACACTCCTGGGTGGACCTTCCCTGGGCTGAAAAGTTCTCAAGGAGACCATAGCGGCTCCCTAAGTGGGAAGCAAGGCTGAAAGGAGTGAGGCTGTGGCGGCCCAGAGAGGAACACTGGATTTCATTCCTAAGATCTTAGGGGCCCAGGGAGGGAACGCTGGGAGGCTCAGGCATGCTCCGTGGGGCCGGGGCCGCCAGCATGGGAGTGGGCAGGGGCTGCAGCCTGCAGGGGGCCAGCGCTGGGCTCTGGGGATGCCAGCAGAGGGGCCGAGAGGCCATCAGTGGAGTCTGTGTCGAGGTCCAGCCTCCAGTAAGCTTCGCATAGAGGCAGATCATTAGCTTCGCAAAGACTTGAGCTTTTCCACCACCAGAAACCCAAGGAGCGAGAGGAACAGGCAGAGATGGAAGTCAGGGGAGGGAAAAGCGAGACAGAAGCAGAGTTAAGAAAACACAGACCACATCCCACACCTGCTTTCCCCCTCCTCTCCTCCACCAAGCAGGCCTGGCTGAGGGGAAGGCACGAGGGGCCACTCTTACTTCAGGGTCCTACAGAGCATCCTAAAGGGGGGAACCTTCTAGGACCAGCCATAGCAGGCTGTGTGACCTTGGCAGGTCCCTTCCACTGACCGACCAGTGTCCTTCCTGCCCGACTGCTGCACGGCCATCCTAGCCCCTGCTGCCACCTCCCATCCTGGCTCCAGCCGCCCTCCTCTTGCAGGGAGCTGCCAGCCTGGCCACCCTTTCTGTTCACCAGCTGTGGGAACCAGTGTCCAGAGCTCGCTGTGGTCTCTCCACGGTCCCCACACTTTGCAAGGACCCTGAGGGCAGAGATCCTGTCTTATTTCTGGGGCTGCCCCTGGTGGGGACTGACCCCAAATGGGGTGACAGGAGCAGAGGCCCTGGCACCCCTTCCTGCACCACACCAGCTATGTGACCTCAAACACGCCCCTCAGCCCCTTGAACTCAGTCTCCCATCTCTAATGTGGGCTCGACAGCGTCGGCCTCCAGGGCTGCTGCAAGAGTTAGGGTGAGGATGCAAGTGGGGAGCGCGGCTCAGAAGGTGGTCGAGGGCATGACTCTAGAGCACGGACCAGCCCTACACTTGTCTAACGGGCTTCCTCCCGCGACCTGCCCTGCCTCCCGCTCCCTCCCTTTCTCCTGCGCTCAGTGTTGTCTCAGAAACCACCCTGGGCACAGGGTGGGGTCCCCAGGAGAGCAGAGGGTGACAGGTAGAGAAGGAGCAAACCAGGAGCGGAAAGCGGGCAGGCGGGCGAGCGAGCGTGGAGGCGGTGTGTGGGGCAGCGGGGCTCATGCAGAGGATGGGCTGAGTGCTGGCGGCTGGGTGGGGCACACGCAGCTGTGTTGGGAGACTTGCAGGGAGTGGCATACAGCCTGCTGGCCCTGACTCAGCTGAGCCCGGGCCACTTACAGGTATTTACAGACGAGGGAGGAACTCGGCCTGAAGAGGCACCAGGGACGGATGGAGGGGCCACCAGGGTGACCCAGAAACCCCTCTGGGTGAACCTGAGACTGATGGGCCAGGACATGGGAAGCCTAGTGCTCAGGCCCCCTGGGTTCCCCTGCAGCCCTGCAGAGTGACCTTGGGCAGGTCCCCTCCCCTCTGGCCCTCAACTGCGAGAGGCAGGGCTGAACTGCTGTCTCCAAAACCACTCAGTCCAGAAGCCTGGCCCTTGGGGGCAGCAGGGGGACAAACCCAGGGACAGGAAGGGATTCTGCAAAACCAAGCAGAGCTGTGAGCCAGGTCCCCGGTGAGGTCTGAAACCCCCAGGGACCTGCTCAGGACTGCTCTCTGAAGGCCTGGTGTGTAAGAGGCAGTCGCTGCCATGTCTGCTGAGCTGATGGGCATCAGTGACCAGAAGCAGCCCCAGAACCCTCTTGAAAAGTCTAGAACTGCTCCAACTGGGCAGTGACACTCTCTTCCCACAGAGGCCACAATGGGCAGGCACCATGAGGGATGGCACTGAGTCCAGGGCAGGGAAGCCAAGCCCCAGACCACAGACCCGAGCAGCCTCCATGGGCCAGAAGGACAGGTTTGTCTGGGCGAGGGTACAAGGGGCCTGGACTCCATGTCTGCTGGACTGAGTCTTGATTTTCCAGGCTAACAGGAACAGAGGTGCAAGACCTCCCTATCTCCAGCCTCAGTTTCCCGTGTAAAATTACACCTGGACTCTGACTTCTCAGGACCCCTCCAGCCCAAACAGCTTCAGGTTTCAGGATTCTAAGTGGTCCCAGGAGGGCTGGGGTGACGGGTCTCACCCACTGCCATATCCCTGGGGCCCAGGTGGGCCTGGCATGTCGGAGGGCACCAGTTCTGTGAACAAGACTGAGCTGAAGAGGAACTCGGTGGTCCAAGTATCTGGGCCTGGCTTTCAAGGCCATCCTCTGATTGAGCTTTTTCCTCCTCCTTCCCAGGACTGTCCCCCACCCTAACACACACACTGTGGGGTTTCAGTGCCGCCCACACAGAATTGCATCCCTGGACAAGCACTGGTGTCCTGGATGTGGGCGTGGGTGGCCAAGAGGAGCCAGCCCAGGCCTGGCTGGAATGTTTAAATATTGATTAAAAAGCTGAGAGGAGCAGACAAGCCCAGAGAGGCAGACAGCCCCCCGGCAGGAACGCCAGCTCTGCCCTCCCTTCTCCAGGCTTGGCCCTCCCGACCCCTCAAGTTCTGGGATGTTCATCCCGCTGCCCAGGGCCCGGTAGATGGTGTAAGTGTCTGTCGATCAAACGCACTGACCATGAGCTCTGCTCTGAAACCCGGCACGGGGCTCTGCTGCCAAGACCAGGAAGGGTTTGGAAAAACAGGACCGTCAGGGCTGCCGGGTCGGGCCGCCAGGTCAGGCTGGGCCACACCTGCTGGCTGAGCCCAGGTCCGCGGGCTCCACTCCACGAGGGGTCCAGCCCTATCTGTACCTGGACGAGTAATACTCCTCCTCCAGCTCGTACAGGTCGATGGAGACCTCGTCCCGCAGGCCGATGAGCTTCCTGTCACACTCCTCCTGCAGCGCCCGAAGCTGCTGGTTGCGCTGGTCGATGGCCTCGTTCACCGATGGGAAGTCGTTGAGGATGAGGAACTGCTTGAGGTCGGACACCAGCTTCATCAGGGATTCGCCGGCTCGGACCTGTGGTGATGGGAACCAGGACAGGCACGATGAGGGAGTGACAGGAGGGCAGGGTCCCCGGCATCCACCTGGACTGCATGAAATCCTTCCATGGCAGGCCTGGCGGAGATGGCAGGTGCCCTCAGCTTCCCAGTCCCTACCCGCACTTGGCCTCTGGCTTCCGCTCCTGTGATACACATTCTGCTTCTCAAAACCTCAAACCCCACCGATGAAACTATAATCCTGTCTAACCACCTGCCCCTGCTCTTCCTCGGGGCAGCCCACCAGCCAGGTGGGCGGGATTCCTTTGGGGCCTTTCCTACGCGTTTTCACCGTGGGCACATACCTACTGGAGTATCTGGTTGATTGCTGGTTCTGTGACATCAGAAGGGCTCAAAATGCCCATCCTGTTTCATTCGGCGATTTGCTTTTGCACTCATAACGAATCTCAGGGAACTTTCTTGTCATCATAACGAATCTCAGGGAACTTTCTTGTCAGCAAGGAAGGGTCAACCTCTTTCTAACCAACGCACAGCACTATACAGGATGGACGTGGCCGGCTATCTGCTGGCCCCTCACATGGCTGCTGCAAACAGCCCTCCTCTCGAGGGGAGTCTCCTGAGAAGTGGTTTGTCCCCCACCCAGGAACCCCCAGTAGGGACCACAAAACTCCTGGAGCCCGGACCGTGCCCTCCACCTGGTGACTCACGATGTTGGCGGCTCGCACGTGCATCTCGTAATTGTCCTGCTCGCCCTGAGTGGCCCTCGACACCTGCGTCTCGTCCTCAATCTGGAGGGCAAAGAAGAAAGCCTGGAATGGGTAGGCGCCCGGGCCCACAGGTGACCGGCTGCAGCATGCCACACCAGCCGCGTCCTGCTGCCCTCCTGCCTTCCGCCCCCGGCACTTCTAACAGGCCTCGGGCACTGCTCAGCTTCATCCCCCTTGTTCTGGCCTGAGGAGATAGGCACCTCATCAGGACAAGCAGATGCCTACGTCCGCTGACTGCTGTGCTAGGCGCAGGGAGATCTGGTCCAGCATTTTCTGGGCTGTGAGCCCTGTTCAGTACCGACTGGTGTCACTAGCTCGAGCACTCAGTAAATCGCTGGATGATGAGTCAAGGACCGTGTATTTTTGTAAGTGACCATTTACTGACCACTTCCTGAGTGCCAGGCACTCCGTCAGGCACTTGACCATCATTATCTTACGAATTTCTCACAGAAGCCTAGACTGCCGTCCCTGGTTTACAGGTGGGCAAACTTGAGGCTGGGACAGAGCAGAGAGCAGGCTTAGGGTGTCGCAGATGGTAAGTGCAGGAGCCAGGAGTCCTGCCTAGCCAGTCTTGTCCAAGACTGCCCCAGCCCATCCACCTGCACAGGGCTTCCACAGGGGCCTTGCCAGGGTTCGGGCTGGGTCAGGGCTCCCTAAGTGGTAGGAGCCAGACTTCCTGGGTTCAAATCCTGGCTCTGCCAGTTATTCTCAGAATGACCTTGGGCAAGTTACTGGATCTTCTGAGCACGTTTCCTCCTCTGAAAACTGAGAGGAGAACAGCGGTACCTGCCCCATAGAATGCTTGTGGAGATTACATGGGACAGGACCCAAAGGGCGCCCACGGCACCGCCTGGCGCGTAGGAAACACTAAATAAATGTGTATTTGTCATCATTATTATTATTGCTCAAACAAGCCTTCCAAGGTCTGCAGCCATCATGCAAAGACCACCATTTGCTGCAGCTGTAGCCGAGCAGGCTTGCCCAACCCAACCCAGATGCTGACTGCTCTACCCACCTGGAGGGGCCTTGCCCAGCTTCTCTCCCTGACCACACACACTCCCACTAGCTACGATGTCTGGGTCCCTGTCAGGCCCAGCAGTAACCTCTTTACACAGATAAACCCATCCAGTCATCATAAGGATCCTCTAACACAGGGGAAACTGAGGCACCGGGACATTAAGTCCCCATCCAAACCCATGCTGCTAGAAAGTGGAGCTGGACGTTGAAACCCAGCAATCTAACCGGCGTCCCCCACGCTGCCTCACCTGGACCTGTCACTAGCTGGTTTATTTATTTATCTGTTGACCTATTTGCTATCATAGATCCCCGTCACCCTCCCAAATGTTTTCCCATGGGAACAAGGGCCTTGCCTGTGTGTTCACTGCTGTATCCTTGCCACCTGGCACAGAGCACATACTCCACATTCAGTGGGTGCTGTTGAAAGTGGACCAGAGCAGGCTTGTCACTTGGCTCACCACTGTCCACAGTCTCTAGACCCTGCTCCTTCCCTTGGTGTCAGAGGTGCAGGAGAGAGGCGGCCGCCACCCACCTTGGCGGTCTTGATGATCTCGGTGAAGTTGTCCATGATGGACTTGATGTCATCCTTGAGACGCTTGTTGTAAGACTGCAGCAGCGTCTCCTTGCTCTGTGGCAGGGCTCTCTGCTGGGCCATGGCGGGGCCTCAGGCCGTGCAGGGCGCCGAGGCCAGGAGCCACCAGTCTGCACCTGGGACCCAGAGTCTGGCGTGAGCGAAGCCAACCCCAGCCACCCACGCTCCATGCCCCCACCTCACAGAGCGTGCAGATCTCCAGGGGATTCCCTTTCTGCCAAAGAAACTCAGCGATCATCGGCACACAGGTGCGCTACGGAGTCTCCTCCGTTCCACGCCCCGCCCTGGGCGAGCTCATCCCAGGAAACTTCAAAAGCCGGCTCCGGCCCGGGCTTCTCGGAGGCCGGGCGCAAGGATGTTCGTGAGAGGCCTTCAGGAGCTCACCAGCTGCCCCTGCCCAGCGGCTTCCGCGCCACCACCCTCGCCCCAGCCCCTCATCCGATGCGTCCTTCCCAGTCTACCCGCGCCGCCCGGCTCCGGCCGGCCGGCCGGCCGCCCGCCCTCTGTCCACACCGGGCCCCCGGAGGGCCGCCTCGCAGGCCTCTGCCCGCCGCCGCGCCCACGGCTCCTCGCTCCGGAGTCTCTGCCGGGACCACCCGCCCCGCGCCACGCGCCTCCAGGCTGCGCGCTCCGGGCAGGCCACGGCCGGCTGACCGAACCCGCGGCCACTGAGCCACTTTGGGGTATATCACCGACAGAAAACACCGCTACTCAACCCCGCCGCCCCCAACGCCCACACCTGGTCCCCAGAGCCCGGCCTGGCTGACACCTGGCCGGGGGGCGGGGTGGGGACGAGAGAGCGCCCCTCCCGGGAAGTTCCAGCTCCCCGGCGCCGCTACGCGCACCAGGCCGGCCCGCCGCGGTCTCGGCTCGCACCGACCCGCCGCCTGGCTCTAGGCACCGCCCCCGACGGGAGGGCAGGCGAGAGGAGCCCTGTCGCTTTAAGCCCGAAATCCCGCGCAAGCAGCAGTTCTCGCGAGCTCCGAGGGCTCATACTTATTACCCACAATTCCCTTTTCTTTCTCTCTCATCCAGCCGCCCAAGATGGTGAGTGGATTTGTGGGTTCCTGTTCTGGCGCCGGGTCCGGGCTCTATCCCCTGCCATCCTCCTCGGGGCGCGACCCCCGCGGGCGTCCCTCCATCGCCCGGCGCGAGGGGAGCCCCGCAGGGCCTGACACAGAGGCTTTGGGCTGGGGCAGAGTCCCCGGCGGCTCGGCCAGGGGAGGAGGATCCGGGGAGCGCAGCGCCGCAATGCGGGGCCGGGGCGGCTGGGGCCGAGGGCTCTTCGCGGTGGTGGGGGCCGCCCAGGGGCCTCGGGCGAGGGTTCTGAGTCCGCCCCGCTGTGTGCGCCGGCTCCTGGGGCCGCGGAGCAGGGCGGGGGCCGGGCTCGTGCGGGGGTCGTGAGCGTCTGCCGCGCGACGGCGAGGGCTCCTGAGCCCCGAGGTCGCCGGTGCCCGGCCGGGCAGGGCCCCGTGCGCCCTCGTCCGAGGCGCCGGCGGAGGAGGTGGTCTGACGGCTCCTCTTTCTGCGCAGCCGAAAGGGAAGAAGGCCAAGGGGAAGAAGGTGGCCCCGGCCCCTGCGGTCGTGAAGAAGCAGGAGGCCAAGAAGGTGGTGAACCCCCTGTTCGAGAAGCGGCCCAAGAATTTTGGCATTGGTGAGAAAGGGGAGTGTGGGAGAGGGCTGTATTTCAGCCGTCGCTCCTGACGGGGAGAGGTCGCTGCTGCAACAGCAGGTCACGTCGCGTCTTGATGCGCGGGTGGTCGCGGGTTGGGGCCCCGTTTGCCCCTCTCCCGCTGTAAGGTGGCTCGGTGCTTGGTCTCCCTCTGCGGGGGCGACAGTGCTGCGGCGTCGGCGTGGCCTCGTGCGCGTCTGAGCGTGTCAGCACTCGGCTCGGATGCCGGCCTTCGGGGTTCGGCTTGCGGGCGAGAGCTGCCTCTCCCGCAGCGGACGCACGTTGAGTGGGAAGAGGTGTCGCTCGTGTCCCCTGTGGTCCCAGGTGTGTGTGTGCAGATGATGTGAAAGAATATTTGCTATCTGAAAGATGGTGACGACTTGTCAAACCACCAAGATCGCTGATGCACCTACACCCTTCCGCGTGGCCCTAGACACGAGCTTGACAGTGAGTTTGAGCCTCACTCAGTGTTGCCCTTTCCGTCTCAGGACAGGACATCCAGCCCAAAAGGGACCTCACCCGCTTTGTCAAATGGCCCCGCTACATCCGGCTGCAGCGACAAAGGGCGATCCTCTATAAGCGGCTGAAAGTACCTCCCGCGATTAACCAGTTCACCCAGGCCCTGGACCGCCAAACAGGTGAGGTGCTGTGGCATGAAACCAGCCTTGGGGAGGGGTTTCTTAGGCAGGGACGCGGTTATGTTTTCTGTTGACAGTACTAGATCGGAGGCGTTCTGAGCGGTGCTGGGTATTTTGAAGTAGGTTGGTTTAGGGCCAGCTCCGTGGCTTAGCGGTTAAGTGCGCGCGCTCTGATGCTGGCGGCCCCGGTTCGGATCCCGGGCAAGCCCCAAGGCGCCACTTCTCCGTCCAACGCGAGGCCGAGTCCCACGTGCAGCAACTAGAAGGATGTGAACCTATGACATACAACTATCTACTGGGGCTTTGGGGGGAAAAATGAATAAATAAAATCTTTAAAAAAAAAAAAAAAAAAAAAAAAAAAAGTAGGTTGGTTTATTAAAGCTTAGGATTCTTTGTCTAGGTTCCGGAGCCTGAAGGTGGCATAACTGTAGAGATTGTGTACGTGGCCCGAGATTTCTTGAATTGCAAGTGTCATATTCAGGACAGTGATGTAGCATTTATTACACTAAATGACCAGAATTAGAACTTAAATTACAAGCCTAAACTGACAGTATTTTCTCAGCTACTCAGTTGCTTAAGCTGGCCCACAAGTACAGACCAGAGACAAAGCAAGAGAAGAAGCAGCGACTGTTGGCCAGGGCCGAGAAGAAAGCTGCTGGAAAAGGGGATGTCCCCACTAAGAGGCCACCTGTCCTCCGAGCAGGTGAGTGGGCCCCTCCTTACGGAGGTGAATGGTGGGGCAGGCGGTTGGCAGTGATGGGTGAATTTCTTCACTTGGAGTCACAGCGAAGAGTAGAATCCAAGCTTTTTAACCCTGAGTCATAGCCGGGCCCGCCAGAGAGCTGCTTCTAAGAGCACACCATACAGACGTGCACAGACACTCCTGTGCTCATGCGAGCTGATTGTGTGTTCTAGGGGTTAATACTGTCACCACCTTGGTGGAGAACAAGAAGGCTCAGCTGGTAGTGATCGCACATGATGTGGATCCCATCGAGGTACGTTTGAGCTGTTTTTCAGCCATTGGCTGCTGCACTTAGATTGGGTCTTTGTGTCGGTATGGGGAAGACAGTGAAGCTGAATACTGAGTCGGGCACATCAGGCCAAGGTGGGGGGACCGGGACTGTCAGTACTGACAAAGGATCCAACTTGTGGCTCTTGCAATGATGTGAACTTTTCACTGAATTAAACCTTGAAGTGCAAATACATGAGCTTTTTAACACTGAGCAATTGCTACTAAGCTAGCTTTTAAATTATTGCTTTTGATCAAAATACACTCTAGAGCTAATGGTGTCTTCCAGCTGGTCGTCTTCCTGCCTGCCCTGTGTCGGAAGATGGGGGTGCCCTACTGCATCATCAAGGGGAAGGCCCGGCTGGGGCGTCTGGTCCACAGGAAGACGTGCACCACCGTTGCCTTCACACAAGTCAACTCGTGAGTATGCAGTGCACCCCAAACACCCAGGAATCAATAGGGGATGCCCCCCTACCCCTAGAAGTTCACGTAGTCTTTCAGGATTTCACCTTAAAGATCAGATCTTTTAGCTTGAAGGAATACATTCGTGTGAGCCTTTGCCAATGATGGTTAAGAATTTCTTCATCTGAATAAACCATGTGGCAGTTTTGTATCTGAGGTAAAAGGCTTATGTTTAGAGCTAAAAACGAAGGCATTTCTCATTTCTGGAAGGACCATTGAGAGGCCACTGACCCATTTTTTTTTTCCCCCCTGCCTTGTTAGGGAAGACAAAGGAGCTCTGGCTAAGCTGGTGGAAGCCATCAGGACCAACTACAATGACAGATATGACGAGGTAAGGAGTGACTCTACGTAGAGTACTGTCTTGGGGAAGTCAAGTGTTACTGTTTCTGAGCAGTTCTGTTTGGCTAGAACAGCGTGGACTAGCATGCCTTGAAAGCCTCAAAACCACAGGCTAAGCTGACTGCCTTTCTTTCTGCAGATCCGCCGTCACTGGGGAGGCAACGTCCTGGGTCCAAAATCGGTGGCTCGCATTGCCAAGCTGGAGAAGGCAAAGGCTAAAGAACTGGCCACCAAGCTGGGCTGAGCGTACACCGTTGAGTTTTCTGTACATAAAAAAAAGTAATAAAAATTCTCCTTCCGTCAGTGTCAGTTGTGCGTTCTGGGTTGAAGGTAATTAGCTGATTACCAGTAAGTTTGGGATGATGGCAAGTACGTTTTCAAACCCAGGGTCATTATCCCCCATAGGGTCTGAGTTGTGTCAGACCTACTGTGTGAGTCGGTCCCGTTTTACACTGCTTGCTCCTGTGTAGTACTTGAGCATTCTGAACCAGGCCTGGAGTTGATCAGCCAGCAGATGTAGATAGAAAGAAGGCAGGCACAATATGTGTAGTGTGGAGGTTTATTTATACGAATAGTACATGATGCAACATAAAATCAAATCTTTTGAAGTAATGCTTATTGAGTGACTTCCTAATTGACCAGGGACAGGGCTACATCAGTTAGTCCCATCACATGCCAGGAGTCCGCTGTAGGAATTTCTTAAACCATAGGTATGATGTGGCTGCGCAGAGTCCGTACCTGGGGTTGGAAGAAAGTGAATGCTGCCGGGGTTCTGAAGGGGAGGGACGAGGGAGCAGTGGGGGCTGGGACTCACCAGGTGAGGATGTACTGCATGTGCTCGTTCCTCAGAGTGACTCTGGTCTGCCCTCCAATGGGTCCTCCAGGAACCGTGCTCTCTGCAGAGACAGTGGGCGCAGTCAGTCCTCACAATCTCTTGTGCCTCCAGCACTTAACAGGCTAAATGGCCAGCTGCTTTTTTGGAACCTTCCATAGCTCTTGCCCAGAGCTGTCCTTTCTGGATGGCCAATTTCAAGTCACTTCAGTAATGCCTTTTACTGTAACCACCCAGCCCCCTAGTGCTGCCCTCTTTGGGTCACACCCCCCCATCCCTCCTCCCACTCAGTAGAATGGACGTAACTGGGAGGTGTCCAGGGTTTAGAGGGAGGTAGAGCAGTATTTACAAAGCTACTTGATCTTCTAGGGTGGGCTGGTCACCACGTACTGAAGTCGGCATCAATGAAAATGGGGTCTGTGCCTGTGACTCTGGCCATGGCCTCCAAGTCCCGGTAATGCCAGTGGTTCCTTTCTGGATTGTTCTCAGGGACAAAGGGCTTCCTGGTTTCTGTCAGCCTCACCATCCCGACTAGGTCCACTTCTCCCTCGATCTATAAAGGAAGGTGCGATTGCTCTTCAGGGGCCTGCACGGAGACTAGGTGGCTTCTACAGAGTCCTGCTCACCTGCCTCTTACCTGGCCTTTCTGCCGTGTATCCGGATTCACTTTCTTCCTGGGGACAAACCCTCTATTTACCAGGATGGTGATTCTAGAGTAATAAAGGTGTGCTATTTCAGGTCGGGGAGGGTTTTTGAATAATCAGGAACAATAGTAGCAGGGAAGGATTTGAAACAGGACCCAGTGGAGACAAGCTGGGGGGGGGGGTACTCCCAAAGCAGTGTGTGCCATTGGGACAGTCTTCCTCTCTTGCCCTGGGCCTGACTGCTAAGAGCCCCCCCCATTTTTTTTTACCCCTCTTCTGTTTTCTTCCTTCTGCCTCACCCACTGCAACATGCAACCCATGACCAACCCCACCAGGGCCAGAGCTGACGCCCAACTCTCCCTGGAACTACTGCAGCAGCTGCCTCATGCACCTGCCTCCCATCTCCCCTCCTGGCCCGGGGAGCCTCAGGGGGCAGCCTGGCTCACGTTAGTCAGCTGACGTTAGTCAGCTGACGTTAGTCAGCTGACGTTAGTCAGCTGACGTTAGTCAGCTGACGTTAGTCAGCCTGTCAGCCCGCTAGAGACGCAGCCCTGGGGCCCAACCCCGACCCAAGACCAGGCAGCTGCAGGCTGACAAGGCCTCTGGGGTTTCCCTTGTACATTAACATTTGGGAAGCTGCTCTAGTCATGGATCTTGCAGCCCCCCCCACCCCGTCCATGTCATTTCCTTCCCATCTCTTCACTCCAGGTTTGGCCCAAACAGGCCCCTGGAAAGCGTTCCCTGACTTGACTCCCTCCAGGCAGAGCTGAGGGCTCCTTTCTCTCGGGTTTGTCTTGCTAGCCCCTCCCCATGCTGCACCAGAATGTGTTGGCCACTAGACAGTTTCTCGGGAGCAGCCTGTTTCATTCACCTCTCCTTCCCCTTCAGAGCTTAACATACAAAAGTTGTTCAGTAATAAATTAAATGAATTGGCTTAATGTCCGAATTACAAATTTTCAATCATCAAGGAACTGAAGCTTTCTGGGTATCTTGGATTCCCTAGGTCTTACCAAAGTTGGGAGTTGAGAGGAAAGAGATGAAAGTGAGTGTGCCCAGCTGCACCTGGCAGGCCAGTCAGCCCCCACACAGCCCACTCACCCCAGGTCAGTGCAGTGGAAGGGGGTGACCACGTAGGCACCGCTCTCAGCTGAGGAGGAGAGCCGGCCGGCCTCCCGGGCCTCCCGGGCCGGGTCCACCATGGTCCGCGGCATCATGTACAGCTCCTTGGAGTGATCAAAGTGGCCCCTGACCTTCACTGGCCTGTACTCCAGACTCCTCAGTTCCATCAGGCTACATGGGAGAGGGAAGAAGTGGAGCAGGAGGATAAATCTGGGGGCTGCAAACCACGCCCTCTAAACAGGGAAGTTGACCCCTCTGAAGCCAAGTGGGAATGTGGATCTGTGCTGCCAAACAGTGCAAGTCTTTAAGAGAAGCTAAAATGTGAACTGTGTGAACTTAACATATAGGCCAAAACCCCACCTGCCAGCCAAATATGGCACACTTCCCTGCTCCCACAAATGGCAGGCTCTGCTGAATGTATCTGTCCCTCTAGGGCAGTGCTTCCAGATGTGGGAGGGCAGTAGATTCATTCAGGGCACTTTTTCAAAACCCCACTCTCATGTCAAGACAGGACATGACATGAGGGCGTTGTCTGCCCTCACCCACCGGCTAAGAATTACTGCTACAGGGGGCCATCAGCACTCTGGGGGATCCTGCGGGTACACTAGACCTGAAAGGCTGAAACCCAGAATCAAAGATAAGATTTTTCTATATACGTTAGGCAGCTTTCCAGGGGCAGTCGGGTGTCAGCAGGAAGCTCAGCAGGGCAGCTGATCTTGAGGGCTCCCGGCTGAGGGTCAGGACGGCAAGCCGAAGCCAGGCCCCACTGCTGACCTCAGGTGAGACCAGCACAAGGCGGGCAGCCACACCAACACTCACTCTGCTGGCAGAGGGATGGGCTCGGCCATGACTCTAGACTCGAGCTCTGCAATCAGCTCCAGCTTCCACTTCCGACGCTGGACCTACGTAAACAGAGCATAAGCCCGAGCAGATGGCCACAGGGTCAAGGGCTCAGAACCACGAGAGGAGAGGCCAGTCTTTACCTGCCATGTCCCCAGGCCAAATGCAGTCACAGGAATGAGAAGCAGGAACCACTGCAGAAAGGAGTCATCTTCCGCTTTCGTGGCAGGTGCTTCGGCTGCGGAACTGCCACACCTGCTCGGCCTCCAGGCCAACCCTAGGAAGGTTTACAACACTGGCATGGGGTCAGAACCCTTAAAACAAATAGAACTGGAGTAGCCAATTCCTCGAGAAGACTCCGCCAATACTGCCAGAGAAAATGTGGTACAGGAGGAGTGAACAGACCACAGCCTACAGTCAGGAGCCAACTAGCAGCACCTGTGTCCAGCCCAGCTCCTAACCCAGTCCGTGGCACATGGCACACACTCAATGGATGTTTGTTGACTGAATAAATGAGACCTAGGGCTCGGTCCTGGCTCCACCACGAAACACGACCCTGGGTAATTCATGCAACCACCTCATGCCTTTTATGCAAGAATACGCTGAGATGTATTCTACTGCACTGAGGTGCACCAGTACTGGCTGCAGTCCTGTGCAGAGAGACAGGAATATGATACAAACTCAGGAGAGTGGTTTATGCAGCTCTCTTAACAGCCTCTCTCATTGCTCATAAACGCAAAGACAGAACAGTGTACACGCAAAGTGCCTTTAAGCTCTCAGAGGGGTAGTCCCATCAACTGACAGGATCGTGGGCCTTGTGGATGGTAACAAGGCAGGCCTGGAGCTATTTGTGTACAGCACTCTACACGCACCAAAACGCCCTCGCTGGGCATTCAGAAGCAACACGTCAACTGTGGTGACCCCATGTGCTGTCCTTGAGGATCCCACTTAGGCTGGCCCCTGGTGAGCACGACGAGACGCTGGGAAGGTAGCGTCTCCGGCCGTGTGTGTGACCCGGAGCGCGCGAGGAGCCAGCCCCGGGCTGTCGCGAGAGCTCTCGGTGCCCACGGCCTCGCGAGGCGGGGCGCGGGGACAGGGGGCTTTCCCCAGGGCCTGGGTCACACCGGGACCAGTCCTCACCTGTGCGCGCCGGGGCCGCAAGGACGCTCCTGACCGCGCCGGCCGGGGCCTGCGGAGACGCGAGGGGCGGGCTGAGTTCGTCCA